TCTGGCATGATGGTATAATTACTTCTACAGGGTAAAAATCTCTTTATCTCTTAAAATATTTATTGTCCCAACTCAATTAAAAACTAAAACTGGCTATGGAGTTGGAGTGTGGCTCTCTCCTCTATACCCAAGCATATTGTTAAAAGAAAACTTAGAGTCTCTGTCTCATATCAGCAGAGCCATCTGGTATGGGACAGAAAAAAAAACCCAAAATCTAGGGATGATGGTTGTCACAAATCTCTGCCCTCAAATTTATTTTGACTTTTTATAACTTTTACTTAGGTGCATTACTATCTTTAAAAATTAAACTTTCCATTTTAATATTAATGATGTTTAAGTTTTCCACAGTGAACAATAAATTTTCCTAACACCAATCTCTGAAGTCTCCAAAAGGATGACTGGGCCCCATAACAACAATTCAACCTGGATCACTATAATGCCATCACACCAATAAACACCACCAAAAGATCGGTTTTGGACTACAAACTGTTCAAGACAATTTTAAGATGGCTAGCTGAGATGGTCTGCCCTCTTGCACCACTCCAGCCAGAACTCCAGATAAATCCATTACTCAGAGGCTGCTTAAAAATACTGCAGCTACTTCTACAAATACTTAACCATTGTTTCAGTTCTTACAAGGTCCCATAGAGACATGTCGCCCCCAACAGCAGGAAGCAATTCTAAGAAAATGATACCCACTTTACCAATAGGTGGGGTGGGTGGTTTGGGTTTTTTTTCCTCAAAGTTAAGGTTAATTGTCATCTGTAAGGGGGCAGTAACAAGTTGTTAGAGGGGTGGGAGCAGAACAATAGAAATTAAACTCAGGAAGCTCATTTGAAATAGAAAAAGGGGGGATAGGCATGATAAGATTAAAAGGTGGAATAAGAGGTAGACTATCAGTTTTAAATAATTTACATTGGTATGGATTCTTGTATATTGATACAAATCCAAAGTTATTTTTGTTATATTGTATATATGTTCCTTCTGTTTTAGATATTTTTGTATATTAATACAAATGTAAAATTATTTTTGTCATACTGTATACATGTTTCTACTTCTGTTTAGGATATTTTTGTATGCTGATGCAAAATAAGGTTATTTTTCATATTGTATTTTACATTTTTGCCTCTCAATAAGTGTGGCGATATAGTGTTTGTAGTCTAGGAAATAAAGCTTGCCTGAAGATCAAAGGACAGAGCTAGCCACAGAGTTAGTCATGGAGGTCAGGCAGTGGTGGCACACACCTTTAATCCTAGCACTTAGAAGGCAGAGGCAGAGATCCATTTGGATTTCTTGAGTTCAAGGCTACACTGGGCTATATGAGATTAATCCACTCCCAAAGAGAAACAGAGCTAGGCAGTGGTGGCACACGCCTTTAATTCCAGCACTTGGGATCACACACCTTTAATGCCAGCACTAGGAAGGTTGAGACAGGAAGTGATATGAAAGGAATATAAGGCAGGAGGAGACAGGAATTAGCCCTCTTTCATGCTGAGGAGTTGGTGAAGTAAGAGGTGGTAGCTGTGGCTTGTTCTGCTTCTCTGATCTTTTAGTTTTCACCCTGATATCTGGCTCTGGGTTTTTATGAAGACCAATTAGGATTTGTGCAACAGTTAAGATATTTTTTTATATTGTCACACTTGTGAGGTTATTGTCCTTATTCTGTACCTCTGTTTCTAATTTTGTAAAGGTATTTTTACCTCTACAGCTTGTTTATTTTTATAATATGAAGCTTTAGTCCTTAAGGTATATAGATTAATAACAATTACAAGTTAATAGTGACCCATGTTTGTCAAACTTATAGTCATGTTAGGTAGATTTTCTAGACATGCAGAGGTATGCCCTAAATAGACAGATGATCTTTAAACACTTCAAAGACCTACAGAATATGGCATTTAAAATTTTTTAATGATTTAGAATTCTTTTGACATGAAGCCTGTCTGCTGCTGGCAGTAACCGATCCACTGCTGAGAGAATGACGGGCACTGAAGACACTTCATATGGAGTTTGGTTTCCCTTTGGCAAAACTGGCTTATTGGGCAAGAAACTGCCCTTGCCGTGATTGCTGACAGCAAGTACGCTGTCCAATCTGGACAAACAGGACACTCACACACACACACACAAAATGGGACTGCTGAACCTTACCAAGACAGGATAGGACAGTTCTTCACATTTTCCTGCTTCTGAAAAAGGTCTGTCAGGTATTCTAGGCCCATAAGCTGAAGCTGGACAATCCAGTGTTACAGAGGAACCTTGGGTGACTGTCCAGGCAGCCAGCTGTTTCTGTCATCCCTTGCAGTTTTTGGAAGGAGCTTGCTTGCATTTCCTGCTTACTTAGGTAATATTATCTTCCTTCTCAAGTTTTTGAAGAGGTGGAAGACCAAATATTTACAGTTACTGTCCTCTTGAATCTTAGCTAAAGACATATTAGGCCCAAAACTTAGATTCTCCAGGCAAGGACAACTATTGGAGTAATCTCTATAAAAATTGCCTATTACTATGGTCTGGATATCCAGAATGTATTTCCTTCTTTATGTTGTGCTTGTTGTATGTAGTTTCATTCTTTGTTAAGAGTATTACCTTTTCCTTTCTCTGGACAATACTTGATAATTGTTCTTATTTTATATAGTTTTTATTATGTTAGGATTAGAACCTTCCTTTTTATTTTAGACAAAAGTGGGGAATGCTGTGAGAATTTGGCTATTTGGTCTAATGACCAATGGCATGGAATGGGGTTGGCCTGATGAGCACGTTCTTCTATGAGGATACCTAATCCTTTAAAAATCAAGTGGGGAGGGTTGTGTGCCCTTACACATTGAAGGCTTCCTGATGCTATAGCTCAGTTACCTCGTCTGAACCTCTCCCCATCCCTCCCTAGTGGATGAAAATTCAGTGGCACCACTTCATTCTGTATTCATGAGTGTGCTATATCAATTTCATCCTCTAATAAATAAGTTCTGATCCAAGATTTCTCGGCCTGCCACATTAGGAAGATGGGTTACAGGTTGTTACTGGTAATGGTCAAGAAAAAAACTGAATAAAGGAAATTAGATTCAGAGATCTCCTTCTAAAAAGACAAGGGGGGATATAGAAATGATAGGATAAAAGGATATATTATTGAATCTACTTTAATCCAAAAAACAACTATTAATCTTAAATATTTTATATTGCTATGGATTTCAGTTTATTGGTACAAATTTAAAGTTATTTCTGTTAAACTGTATGTATGTTTCTACTCTTGTTTGGATTATTGTGCTAATCAACTCATTAAAACTGTAATGTATAATTAAAAATACAGATTAACCTTCATCTATGATAGTCAAACTTATATTCAGGTATGTTTTCAAGGTTATACACAGATATATTTAGATAGGCAGATGTTCTTCAAATACTTCAAAGACCATTGGAATATGGCATTTAAAAATGTGTTAATAACAAGGTTTTTCATGACAGTGAGACACGTCCACTCTTGGCAACACCAATTTGCTTTAAAAAAAGAAGAATGATGGGCATCCAAGCACCTCTATATGGAGTTTGCTTTCTATGTGGTAAAAGCTAGCCATTGGCAAAGAAACTGCCCTTGCCTTGACTGATGACAGTATACTGTCCAAATTAGACAAGCAGGATACAAAGATAAGTGACTGCCAAACTTTGCCAAGACAAGAGAGGATAGTTCTTCAAAATTCCTCCTTCACACAAAAGTCTGTCACATATTCTAGGTGTGAAAGTCAAAGATGGATGCCCCAATGTTACAGAGGGACCTCAGAATGACTGTCCAGGCAGCCAGATTTCCCTGTCATAGCTAGAGTTTTGGAAGTTGCTTTCTCTACTTTTCCTGGGCCCAAAAGCCCATCCATGAAGGTATCTATCTTGTGGAAGTACAATTTCATTTGAAAGGTGAAGGCCCATCGTAGGGGCTCATGCTCAAAACTACATTTCTAGGAAAGTTTCTCCAGCACCGGAAGAAGAAAGAAACTGTGCTATGGGGCTGACACTGTCCCAAGATGGAAGCAGAACATGACATCACTGTCGACATTGTACTAGATGTGTAGACACTAAGGGACAACAGGTAGGTCAACATGGTGCTTCGCAGCAGTATTAAAGGGAACAGCTTCACCATAGTACTGATCAGATGTTCAGTGTCCCGCTTAACAGTCCCTGTGTGGTCACTCTTTACTGAACATGCAGGTGATAGCTAAGTGGAATTGGAACTGCACCATATACTCATGGTGGAAATATAGGGAACTCTAGACTGGGCCTATCTATGCCAGGACCAGTGACCCTTCACTTGGGAGGTAAGCATGAGCTCCTGGCACACACGTGGTGAACATGGATCTGAGTTTGTGAAACACCATGGAGACACTGGTAAAAATCCAGTAGCGCTCTCACAAAAACTAAATGGCTTTCAGAGATTACTAGTTGAAAGTTTTCAGGGGAAAGAAGTACAGGTGGAAAACTGAGTTGGATTATGGGAGATCTTTGCAAGTAAGTGTCAGAGAGGTGGACATTTAACTTTGTTCAGTGATTATACTGTCTCTGTGTCCCTCATCAATACACTGCAGAGATTCCAATGTTCTCACAAAACTGTTTTCCAAGCTGTGGAGTCAGACCCATGAATGGCTCACACAGAGTGTCGTACAGAAGAAGGATTACTTATTATTTGTAGGACAGCATATTAAGACATAGCAGACATTATACTCAACTGCTTTAACCCGTCTTTGTTTGGACTTTTCATTTTTACTTAGAAACAAGGTCTCTTTAAATTTCCCAGTCCAGCCTTTCATCCCAAGTCTTTTTGTCAAGTAACCGCTGAACAGTTAGACGGCTGGTTTCAAAATCATCTTTAAAAGATACTTCTCATTCCCACATTAGTGTATTGCTTCGTTAATTTAAAGCAAAACTGAGTCAAGGTGATTTTTAAACGCTGTAGTAACATTAAATCCCAAAATATGGACAAGAAAACTTACAAGGCTAATATTTCTGTCAAAGACTCGACTCACATTAATAATCTAGTGTTGTGGACTAGAAGTGAACACCGGCCTCACTCCTAGGGATGCCCTGCCGACTCAGCTTCTTCCTCCAAAACACTACAGCTGGCAGCCAGACACAAATCCAGGAAGTGTAGAAATCTCCATACATAGGTTCCCGGAATTCTTTCGCATAGATTTCTGGGAAACGTAGTCCAAACGACTGTGAGGTCATAGGGAGACATCCAGGAAATCCTCATCAGGCTTTTGGTAGACACACGTGCAGCTTTCCCAAAGTTTGGCGAAAGTCCTCCCCTGCTCTACATTCCTGTTGCATCTCTGACATGGAGGTTGGTCCAGGGTGCAGCGCAGCCTAAGGCACTGTGCGGGGGGCGGGGGTCCGTCTTGGAGGGAGCGGACCTGGGCTGGGTGGGAGGGCGGAAGAAGCTGCCTTGGAGGTGCTGTGCTGAACTGGCTGGGACACCTGAGGTTGCAGGTCAGGGCTGGGGAGAGGGCGATAGGGACTGTGCCTTGAGTGATTTCTTTAGGTCGCCGCTTGCCACCCGAGTCTTCCTTGGGCTTCTGGGACAGGAGAGCTGCCTGGTAGCGCGGAGTAGATGATAGTGCAAAGTCCAGGATTGCAAACTCATGATGGTCAGCTGACTGCCTGCTCCTGAGGTGGAGCTGGGAGCTCAGTGAGCAGCTTTGGTGGGGAAGCATGCTTCTCTAGCTGAGCCGTTCTCACATGGACGCTGTCAGATTTCTCAGAATCTGTAGAGCAAACGAGGTCTGGTCCTTCCTGAACTCTAGCCGGCCTAGTGTAACGGTCTTGAGGTCTTGATCGTGTTCATCCTATGTGTCAGTTAAAGAATTAAGAAAGGAAAAATCCAAGTCGAAAAAAGGTCACAGGTGGGAAATTCTGGAACACAGCACAGATTTACTAGAATCAGCTGCTATAGAAAAGCTTTGACTAGGGTGGGAGAACACACATATAGCCCGTTCAGAGAGAGAGGCATCTTCTGCAGGAAGATAGGGAACTGTAGAAAGTGAGGCCAAGCCTCACCTTGAGGACTGGGTTTTCTTAAACTTTGAAAGGTCTTCCCTTATGTAGGGTGGACCACAGTGGTTGCGTCAACATGTCTTTACCTGGCCTTGGGCTTGTTGATCTAGTCCGTAAGCAGGGTGTCTAGGAACAGATGAAAAACTCACATGGCCTTGGGTTCCAGTGCCAAGCTTTTGTGTCAGGTCAGCAGGGTGAGGAAGAACTCACCGACTGTGTGTGTGTATTCATGTGATTTAAAGTAAACCGACCTGTGATAGAAAAGAAACTTCAGTCTACTGTATTGCACATCTCTGTCATCTCTGCATTTGTGAAGGGGAGGCAGGACATTCTGATCCTCCCATGCTTCACCAAAAATTCAAGGCCAGAGTCTGTGTCATAAAACATTTAAACATACTTCATGGTCATGAGAAATACTTTCTGTGGTTCATTTCCTGTTTCTTACAGTGACTGCCATGACAAATCCATGCAATCAGCACATTGCTGACTTAAAAACTGCTTGTGGTTAACTTCTGTTGACACATTCCACGTGTAATTTAAACTTTTGTCACTGAGATATTTTTGTTAAAATATTAAATTTTAGTGATTACATACTTATTTGCATTTACTCCTTGAGGAAGAATTCTCAGGGCCTTGCTTAAATATTCCTTTTTGTAGTGATTGTTCATTCTTTTTGGTTATCAATCTGTATTAGTTACTGTCGTGACCTGATGCTGATTTCTTCTGGTTTCACTGATTTCTTCCAGTTTGATCTTTTCATATCTAATCTGAGACTCCATTATTTCTTCATTTCCATTCTGCAGTTCTTGACTGATGTGGCTGCTATGGTTACATTCCTGGGTCTTTTTCTGCAGCTGCAGCAGGGATGCCTTCCCCTGTCCTTACTCCAGAGGTTCCACTGTGTGCAGATGCTTCTTACAGTGAGCCAGAACAAAACCACTTCCTCCCTGTCCTTCACATGGGCACTGCCATATCCAACCAGTAAAGCAAAGTGCTCATGTTGGTTCCTGCTCTTCACAGGTCCAGTCCAGGTCCCCTTGTTGAGCAGTCCTGTCTCTTTCCTCCCAGGCTTCTTCCATTGTATTCTAATGTCAGTGTGAGGGAGGGAGTTCCTTGTGTTTACAGCTCATGCATGAACCCTGCTGTGTTAGACATGTCATATCTGGAAAACTCTGGAGGGGAGGTGTGCTGGGTGAGGACGTTGAGTTCCTGTTGATCAATCTATATGACTACGTCAGAGGCCATGGAGAGACATTGCATAAGATTTGAACAGGGGTCAAACACATATCCAAGGAATAAACCTGAGCAGCGCAGATTTTTCATTACATTGTCAATTATGGGTTACAAAAGTGTCTGGCATAGTGTTCTACATAGTTATTAACAAATGCAGAAACATATTTTGGGTTGAAAGGTGTTTATTGTTGCATGGCCATCTTGTTGAAAATCTGTATTCCATTATTCTCTTCTTTGCAGTGTCTCTATGAAATTAAGTCAACTCTATGAGAATGCATGTCACCAATCTTTATTGGATACACTTCACTTACTTTAAGAAGACTGAGAAACAATATACTGACTACTAAAATCCACAAATACATCAAGACTTCTAATGTAAAAGGCAAAGCTTGTGATAATATTTTGAAATTTAATAATTATGTAATTCATGTTTGCAAATCTAGTACTGTATTTGATATCTCATTTTTTCATGATTTATTCCACTTTCTATGTTATATCATTCCAAGACATCATTACTAATGACTCTTTCATGCCACATGTGTGTAAGTATAGAGCCTGGGTGGAGATCTAGGAGTTGGGACTTGATGTGTGTAATGTGTATTATAAGCACTATGTCCTTTGATCAGGACATAGGCTGCTCTGAATGGAAGGTCACTGCTGTCAGGAACCTGATCAGGAATCCGGTCCTCCCTTTGCATCTGGCCTGGACTTCCCACCAATCTTCAGTGTTGTCTGGTTCTCTGAAAAGGTGTCTCTGAGGGATACGGACAGGAGATGAATGCGTTTTTAATGTATCTACTCTGTCCATTCTGTTGTTCTAGGCTTGACTCTAGGACCAGTCTCTATTCAAGTGTACTACAGATTGCTGGCTCCCAATTATATTGAGAATGTTAGCAATTTTTAATGAATGACACTTTGCCCACCTCAGAGCAGACATTATTTGCATTTCTTCTCCATAGAAAGTGAATTTTGCCAGGCTCAAATTCCCTTCAAATGGTTGCCATTAGTTGTACTGGATAAAATTCCTACTAAATGCTCTCCTGTTTACAGGTGCACTGCCCTGCATTGACAGCATCTCATAGGAGATTGACCTCAAGACAGCAAACGCTTCCTCATGGAATGGTGGTAGACAGTGCTGGGCAGCACAGGGGGTGATCCTGGCAGTTAGTTCTCCACTGGGGACCTGCAATATTTCTCTCACAGAAGTGTGTTTCCATCTTCACTGTGCTCAGGGCTCTTTCCATTCTCCACAGTGACTATTTTCCCCTGCTCTTGGTGATCATATCATTAAAAAGAGTCTCATCTGGTTTTTTTTCTTTGGTCCTCTTCCTTGTAAAGGTAGAAACGTACTCCACTAGCTACAAAGAAGCTTCACTATAGTTCAATTGCTTTTCTTTTGAGAAATTACTGGGTGTTCTACTCATCAATTTTCTTCAGTTATCTTGTGACTTGGAAATGTATTGTCCTAGTTGCTACTTAACTCTGCCCTTTATTGAAGGTTATTATTTGTGTGGTCATTCTTTACAGAATATACATTTCTGCTGTTCCAAAGGTCTTGTGACAATAGCTATTCGATCCTCCCAATGCTGACACAAACTCAGAGGATTGGAGTTGTATTTGACATGAAGGTCTCCTGTCTAAAGGTGAATTTTCTTAGCGCTGGAAGGTGCTTTGCAAGCTCCAAGACAGAGAGCAATAAATAATACTGCTTAACTGTTATGCCCATGAACCACAACAAAGACCAGTGTAGCTAAAGTTTTTCTGGCCCTGCCTGGCCCACAGTCAGGACAAATCTTTCTCACCTGCCAGTCCCGAAGCCGCTCAGACCCAACCAAGTAAGCACACAGAGACTTATATTTCTTATAAAATGTATGACCATGGCAGGCTTCTTGCTAACTGTTCTTATATCTTAAATCAACCCATTTCTATTAATCTATAAGTTGCCACATGGCTCATGGCTTACCAGTATCTTAACATCTGCTTCTCTTCATGGTGTCTGGCAGCATCTCTCTGCCTCAGCCTTCCACTTCCCAGAATTCTCACCTATACTTCCTGCCTGACTCCTGGCCAATCAGCATTTTATTATACAGAGCGATATCCACAGCACTTCCCCTTTTCTTTCTTTTTAAAAGGAAGGTTTATCTTTCACATAGTAAAATTACATATAACAAAACATTTATCAAGCAAGAATTACAGTTATAATATCTAGTCTATTTGTATTTGGCAGAATTAAAGAAAATATTCTATCTATCCTATATTTGTGAGTCTAAGGTTTCATATGTAACTTATCTTTTATCATAACTAAGGAAATTATAACTATCTAGTCTTCAACTACATCAGAGACCTTATAATATTACTTCAGAAATGGGAGGATGCAAGCAACTTTTGAGAATCTTGCAAGAGTAGATAGAGACAGTTGGCAGCCTGGACAGTCACCTAATGTTCCTTTGTAAAGTTGGGGCATCTGTCTTCAGCCCATAGGCCTAGAGTGTCTCAGTCACTTTTCTCTGTGGCCTGTAGAATGTCTGGCAGTTTCCTCTGCAAAGCAGGAACCTGAAGGACCATTTTGCCAAGCAAAGTTCAATGGTCACCTTCCCATGGGTCCTGCATGTCCAGTTGATCAAGGAGTCCAGGCAAGAACAGTTTCTTGCCCAAATGGCTATTTTTGCCAAGGTGAAGATAAACTCCATATAGAGTGTCTTCCATGCCCACCCTCCTCTGAAGTAAATCGGTGCTGCCAGGAGCAGACATGTCTCACTGTCCAGAAAGTCTAAATTTTTTAAACATTTTAAATGCCATATTCTGTAGGTCTTTGAAGTGTTTGAAGATTACCTATCTATCTGAATTATATCTATGTATACCTAGAAAACAGTTTGACTATAAGTTTAACTAACATAGAAGACTAATTATTAATCTGTATTTCTTAATTATCCATTACAATCTAAATGAGTTACATAAACATAATACCTCAAATGAGAATAGAAATATATATACAGTATAACAAAATTAAGCTTAAACTTGTATCAATAAACTAAAATCCATAGCAATGTAAAACATTTCAAACAAGTTGCTCTTTAAAAGTAGATTCAATAATCTACCCTTTCATCCTATCATATCTATATCACAGTCCCTAACTGCACTCCAAGTACTTCTCCTTGGACCCAAACTGGAGTGTCCCTGGCACTGCTCTGTCATAGGTGCTTCTCTTTGGAGCACAGAGTGAATTACAGAAAATGAAAACAGACCAAAATGCAGAGAACTATTGTCCTGTGGTGCCATGAACATGAAAGATCAGAGAACAGGGACCGGCCACAGTTGCTTCCTACCTCTGTCATTGCTCAGTCCAAAAGGCCTGAGATCCTGTCTCAGCCCTACCTGACGACTTCTGGTCCTTTTCCTCGACAATCCTCCGAACCTTGATGGTCAGCTCCACCCTCTGACTCCCAGGAAGCTTTATTTGTCAGAACACAATCAACATATCCAACCTCCCTAAATAAGAACAAATATCCATTACCCACTGACTGATCAAAAACACCATCACACCTCTTGGGAATGTAGGTGTCATGTTCTTAAAATTAATTCCTGTTCTCTGGGGATGATATCATCTTTAGGGGATCCTGAAAGAAAAACGAGATAATTGTCAAGTCCTTGGAGAGCTAGCTGTATCATGTGTTGTCCAGTCTCTGTAATGGGAAAGTACAGGGCTTGTCTCAAGTCCTTGCTGGAGTAGTCTGTGAGACTGGACTTGAATTTATTTGTTCTGAGCAGTTTGTAATCCAAAGCTGATCTTTGGGTGGTGTTTGTCATCTTAGTGGCATTACCATAGTCCCAGTGGAGTCATCATTGTGGGGCCCCATCCTTCTTTTGGAGACCTCAAAGGTTTTTCTTAGGCATGGTCATGGTTCACTGCAGAAAACTTAAACAGTTTCAATGTCATATACAGTAAATCTTGAAGAGATCAAAGGATGATAATTTGTTATGTAAATCCAGAGTACAAAACCTTAATTCCTAGTTACCTGATAGAGACACAAACCGAAAATCATGTACAGGAATCTGTATGAAGCCTTTTTCTAGAATTAGTACTCTGTATGACCATTAGTATCATGAAAAAGTTAAATATATATATATATATGTATATATATATATATAAATTTTGAGATAATATTTATAACTTAAAAGTTTTAAAGAGACAAAAATAAAGCCAAAGTATTATGAGGTTACTGGCAATAGGATGGTCCCTTAATTTGGTTTTCCTTCTGTGCCATATCAGGTGGCTCTTCTGACATGAGACAGAGTTTGGATTTTACTTGAACAAGCATGCTTGGTTTAGAGAAGGAGAGAGCCATGCTCCAACTCCAAAGCCAGCTTTAATTTTTAACTGAACTGGGACTACAAAAAGACTATATATGTTTTAGAGAACAACAGAAACAAACATTTAGCAAGATTTATGAAATTTTATTCTGTTAGAAATGTGATATACTGGTAGACTAATTTACTCTTTTTCTTGGGACATTTTCTCTGTATGATTTGACCTTTTTCTTCAAATTTCTCATTTGTCCAGTGGTCTTCGGATTCCTTAGTTGGATGCCTTCATTCTTCTGAAAAGACAAAAACAAAACCATCCCCATACCCTAACTTTGGGGAGTTTCCCTTTTGGCAAATTATATCTGATCAAATGATCAAATGTTAGTTTTATAAGTTAGTTTAGATTGAATTGTCATACTTACATGAAGTATCACCTTCTAATCAAGAAGTCTCTCTTTTTTTTTTTTTTTTTTAAATAAAGATTTATTTATTTATTTATTTATTTATTTATTATACAGTGTTCTGCCTGCAGACCAGAAGAGGGCACCAGATCTCATTACAGATGGTTGTGAGCTACCATAGTTGCTGGGAATTGAACTCAGGACCTCTGGAAGAACAGGCAGTGCTCTTAACCGCTGAGCCATCTCTCCAGCAAGAAGTCTCTCTTGTTTGAATCTGATCTTTAAAATATTTCCTTTATGGTTTCTTCTGAAATATTTGTTTTTATCTTCTAAAGCTGTTCTATCACCCAGAGCTGTATGATTATGCTAATAGGATCTTTTACCTTGTATTTCCTTCAAAATGGATCAAGTGTGAGATCATGTGACCACTTCAGGCATGTCTAAGGAATATTACTTACCTATGTAAGAAACTTTTCTATCTTTCATCCTGAGCAAAATCTAGATTTGTGTCCAAAGGCACATGATGCCTATGTTAGGGTTTCTGTTGCTGTGATAAAGACTGACCAGTAGTAACTGGGAGAAGAAAGGGTTTATTTCAGCTTACAATTTCAGGTAACATTCCATCCGTCACTGAGGGAGGTTAAGGCTGGAACCTGCGTCAAGAACTGGAGCAAAAGCCATAGAGGGATACTGCTTCCTGATTTGCTTTCCTTGGCTTGCTCAGCCTGCTTTCTTGAACCATCAAGGACTACCTTACTATGATGGCACCACCCATAATGGGCTGTGCTGCCTCAATCACTAATTAAGAAAATATCCCTTAGTTTGGCTACAGGACAGTCTTGGGTAGGCACTTTCTTAGCTATGCTTCTCTCTTCTTACATTGCCATAGCCAGTGTCATGTTGACAGGAGAGCTAGCCAGTCCAATAGATCTTGGAATCAATGTTGTTATTGTTTCAATTAATTAAAAGTGTGATAGCACGCTTGCTGACCTTGACCTTGATATCCTCCCTATGCTAATTCCCTGCCGGGTTCCATCCTCCTGAAGGCTTAAGGGAAATTCCTTGTCTGTATCCTGCATAATGGGCGTTAACAGCTTAGATGCAAGATTGTAAAACATCTGTAGCGACTGCCCTCCGTGGTTCTCCCATTGTGCTGTAAGCCTGTATTTAAGACCTCTTCCCTCCTTCAATAAACAGCATTCGGCATTAA